GGAAGTGCCCACGTTGTTACTGCTCGTGCTTCAGCAAAAGCAGCTGCTCCTTGGAATTCGGCCCAAGTAGCCTATCCACACATGGCTACCGTAAAGTAATGCACAGCTATGACTGAATGTGTGGAGCAAGTTTTTTTGGTGACACAGAGGGGACCCTTGTTCACAAGTCAAACATTTCTGGGCAAGCGGAGATACATACTGTGCCCATTCCAATAGCCTACCTTTGCGCTCTGATTTGCACCATGACATGCACAGCTTAGCAGGCTTTTGTTGCTGGACTACATACATGCAACCCTTTCCGCCCTCAACCCTGGATGAACACTTTTAATAATATGCATCCCTACATTTTCCATTTTCCCAACAATGTTGGTCAAAACCCTAAAACCCTAACACATGCAGTGATGGACAAGGCACTTTGCAGGCGGTGCTGCTAAGCCACCCTTTGCATCTGCCTCGCCCCTGCCGCCTGCATGCGTTCTATCTGTAACCAGCTGCAGGACTGTGCATACCTGTTGGTAACGTATACGGAGCATCGAGACACCATAAGGCCGCCTCCAGCAAAAGCTATGTTGTTGTAGAAGCCCACTTCCGAAATACGGACGTTAGGCATTTTGCCACCACTACCACCAGCAGCAGAGCAGTCAGACAGGCCCACTATGCCCCTGCCACTGTAATCCCCACTCCAAGAGCTGCATTCGCTAAACTGCGAGCGGTTGATGGTGAGGTTCCCAGCCAGGTTCTGGAACCATAATACCCCGCTCACTTTCCCTACATTACGCCAGATACAGCCAATTATACTAACCTCCCCTGCTTGGTCCAAGAAGTGAGCTACCGGGGCTGCTAAGTTTGTAATTTCAGTGAAATTGCAGCCAGCTAGCGCGATACCCCCGGTGCTGCTCGCGAAGATTGCTGCGCCATTGCTAGGTATGTTAGGGTTGCTAGATATGTTGCTCCAGGCCGAGTAACGAGCGATCAGGGAGCTGCCCGCCAACACCATGACAGCTGCATTGTGTCTATGTGATGACTCGCTGACATTGGTGTCTGTAATGATGACACCTATCATATCAAGAATTGAACCATCGACAGCACGGAGAGCAGATCCTCTGCCATCAATGGCACGGAAGCTGGTACCTGTCACCCGCAGGATTCCCCTGGAAGCTACATTCACCACTGAATTCACTTCACGACCTGTCGTGATATTACCCTGTGTGCCATTTGTACCCCAAGAGATGTTGAAAAACTCGCAGTTCGCAACATTGACCGTTGAGTTTGCAACATGTAGGACGGTGGCTGCCGCTGGGACCTCACTCTCCAACAACGAAATGGAGCGGAAGTAGCAGTTAGATAGGCTGCCAAATGAGTTAATGAACTGCAAAGCCGACCGCTGCCGGGCCCCCGACTGGCCATCAAATGACATATTTTGCAAAGCTGCGGTGCTGTTCTCCAGCACGGAGAGGCGGAGGAGGGAGTAGCCTTCAAAGCTGGCTTTGCTATTTCCCCTGACCGTAACTCCAAGTCTCCCAAGCTTCAGGGGGCTACTTCCCGTGTAACCACCACTTAGGACGACAGCATCAAGGTCCCAGGCTTTTTCTAACGATAGCTCCTTATTGGGGCCCGTCGGATTGCCCGCCTTCAGAACCTGCGCGTCCGGAAAGGAGACTGAACCCACAACGCCACTTGCAAGCAGGATTGCCCGGCTGGCAATGGACTCAACAAACAGGCTGTTGCTGGACTCCACACTGATGCTGGCGCCTGAAGCCACATAGAATAGGGCTGCAGCTGACGTAATTTCCGACATGCTGCAACCTGCGAGCGTCATCACTGAACTGTTGCTGGCCGCCAGTATAAACCCGTTATCGGAATCGGCCGTGACATTCTGCCAGGAAGAGCCCTCACGCACCAGCAATGCGCTATTGTCAAGGGTAACGGTCGCTGCGACGCCCTGCTTCAGCTTCACATTCCTGATGGTGGTGTTGTACATCGTGAGATTACTGCGGTGGATTCGGATGACTTGTGCCACGCTCCCCCCAGCCGCATCCTCCCAACCGAGGCCGCTGAAGGCAGCATCCTCCATTGTCATGTCACTATCCTCAATTACAAGTGTTGACCCGCCTTCTACGTTCCCGCTGAAGACCACTGAGTCGAAGATCACGTTTTGGAGGCGGCACCCTTGGCATTTCGAGATGCTCAAAGGAACAGCTACAGAGAAGTCGTAGTTGGTGAAGACGACCCGGGTGAACGTCACATTCTCGCCCTGAACAAGCCTGATCCGATCAGCCAGCATAGATTTCGCGGGAGTCAAGCTGACATTGCCTGCGCAAAAAACAAGTGTGTACGGGAATGATAGCAAGCAAGCATAAACCAACGATTTAGTTGGTTGGTTGGGCTCCAGTTTCGGCTTACGTGCATGCGTGCGTCAATTCATCGCTTGCCGGTCGTCATCACCGGACCCCATAATGGATGCACGCACGCATGGAATGTTGATGTTAGTCACACAAACCACTGCCGACGCTTTCCCCTTGGAAATGAGGCCGCGAAGGCCTGGGCGGGAGACATGCATGCACATGCGTATGGAGGATACAACAAAAGGCGCCACCTAGCTAAGCCCACAGCCTGGCGCGGCGCAGGCAGGACGCAGGGATGCAAAACGTAGCAAGTTATAGCCGGGACCGAAAACGCTGCCCTTGGCGTACATACGCAGATTGCATGTATCGCCCTTAAAGCTAGGTATTATAGATATATAATTGTCTGGATTTGTGCAGTATGATTCGCTCGCGCTTTCTGGCAACAAATGCGCACCTGTGATGTTACAGGATTTATCACTGAACGTCGCAAATTCTTGCGCCGGCATGGCAAAGCTGACATTTTTGCCAGTGCAGCTCAGTTCACATCGAGTAAGCTTCTGCCTGTTCTCTGGCAAAGCCTCAACAACGATTTGGCACTCGCTCCCGGCCCATGATGGCTTTATACCCAGAATCAGCAAAAGATATAATAGTAAAAGATACATCCTATAGTAAAGGCAGGCTGCGGGCCACCAGCCAGCAGCGCCGCCTAAATTCGCGAAAGCCGTCTGCTAGCAACCCACGTATGTAAGCAAAAGTAGCGGAAGCTAAGTACGCGGCTTATCTTTACGACGCAAAGGCGACTGATAGTCTTATGATATTAGCTGAAAATTGCCGAGAACCTTCAGTTTGCATAGTCTCTGGGGTCAGTACGATATCTGCGCCTTTGAATATGAGGTAACTACGCACCGCACGTTCGAGCCGTCGAAGGTAAAATGCTTAGCTACCAAGCATGCATATTACATCAACCTTAGAGGGATGAAGCTCATATATTATCAATAGATTGCAGAAGACACCTTCCGATTAAAAAGGGTTGTTACGAACGCGAGAAGCGGCCAGAGCCCATTACGTAACCGACTGACTGATTGTGCAGATGGGATACCATCTGTGCAATTTAGATCGTCTGCCTAGGCTGAGAAGTAGCTGTTTACCTAGAAATTGTATCGCTTTGAATTGCTGCTCAAGATGACCGAGTGCTCGTGCGCTGGTACTCCGACTACGGGCATCGCGTTCACTAGCGGAGGGTCGTCGCACACTGTTACGGGTCGGCTGAGTCATTCGCCCCTATGCTGATGTTTCCTTGGAATTGATACCGTAAGCGACAAGAATTGATATTGTAAGGACTTGCCAAGCGTGAATCTTGTCATGCATACATATGTGGAGAGACTGCATGGAACGAATGCTGCTCGAAAAGCTGACGCCTCCTCAAGTCATTCCAGGATGCAGTACAACTATTGTCTTTCATTGCCTCCACAAATTTGCTATTTGAAATTTGCTTCGTCAGCCCGAGAACGCCAACACACTCAGGCATGTTTTTACATCCAATTTCGGATTCTTCGGCTGCCTATTAAGAACGACGAGGAGATATTGCAAATTGAAAAACATCATAGCTGTGAATCTGGATTAAGATGGGTATGTCCATTAGGGAAAGCACTTCCACGGAGGTACACCAGCTCATCACAGAGTCCCGTCGATCACGTGTGGAGGATCGTGAAACGTCTATACGAGCAGCCAAGCCGTCTGTAACATGACTAGTTTACAGATGAATTGCAGCATATTTTTCTTACTGTAGTGCGCATCACATGCAGGTAACTCTCCTGCGATGACGACGCCAGCCACATTCGCCTCGAATACAGCTGTACATCGTCGTCACCCGTAACATTCCACTGCTGCAGCAACCTGCAAACGAGCTTGGAAAAATTATGTGGACTCATGTTTTCGTTGCATACTTCTCAAGTGTATCCTTGTAAGGTTCTGGCACTTCCTTGCAGATGGTAGATCGCTTACGAAAGTATAGTTTGCTTGGCAGCGAAGGATTTTATGAAATCTTGCTACATATCCTTTCTCAATGACGTCACTGGAGTGCGTAGCACTAATCATTGGCGTTGGCGCTTACCAGCGCCTCCCGCCTATAAAGTGTGCGGGCAGCGAGGCGAAGATTGTCTTCGGGCGCCTCCTAAGCGGTGGAATCGCTTCACGGCCAATTTTGCGACATGACCAGGATGCTGGGACGGCTACCGAGGATGGCTATGAGGTGCCAAAAGCAGATCGGTGCAGCTTGGAGGAAGCTATCTGCTTGTTCCAGGCGCGTGTCTCTAGACCATTGCATTCTCTGCACTTGGTGCATATCGTCGTATCAGTTATCCCAAATCTGCGTCCTTCTCGCAAGCATTTACTAATGGACTTGCTAAAATCTATGGTCGTATATGTATGTAAGCGGGCCAAGTGCTTGACTATTGATATACATGCAGCTACTTCACGACCTAAATGCTAATATCAGCCCAATGGAATGCTGGATGATAGAGGCCACGCTTCTGTCCGCCGCTGGATGCTCATAGGTAGTAGCACATCTCCTTCGGTTGCATGCTAACTGCTCCAGCCGCACGCGCTATCTCGTATTACTCAAAATCGCATCAACGTAACAAAGGCGCCGTCCTTGTTTGCAGAAACGGCTTGAACAGTTCAGTGGGCGATGCTGGGCTTTCTTGTATTATTCCGGACATGGGCTTACCGATGGTGGCTACCACTACCTGATGCCAAACGACGCCCAGGCCAGGCGTTTGTCTGGCATCTGCTTTGAGGAGGAGGTGCTCGTGCACATGCGCAAGCATGCGGTTGCCTCGTTTGCAGTGCTGGATGCCTGCCGCAGCCCCACGCAAACAAGGCAAGTCTCTGCTGGTGGCAGCTCGTATCTCACATGCGATGTTGGGTGGGGCTCAGCCTCAGCTATCGTGGATTACTTCAATTCTGGCGGCTCACCAGATGACCTAGAGACACGGGAATGTGGCAGCGAGCAGCCACCATCAGGGAATGCTCTACGTCCCGGTGGCGCGTACGTGTGCTGGGCCACGAGCCCTTACAAGGCAGCGCTCGTCAAGAGCGGGTACACGGGCCACCTGGTTAAGGTGCGTGCAAGGAGGCTTGCTTTCAAAGCAAGTTGCTACTCAACCGTCGTCTCCATTGCGCGGATTACGTACATATATGTAGATGCGTTATGCAACCTGCATGTTGGCGCGCATTTCTACGCACATGTGTTTAGCTGTTTAGCTGTTTTACTGGACAAGTGAGATCAATAGATATGATATTAAGTACGGCGTCCGCTTCGCAGCATCAGCAATTGTTATGCATGTATGCATGCGTGACGTACGTGTATATTTCAGCCAGCCCAGCTACGCAGCATCCACACCGTCAATGCATGTAAATGCAGTAGTTGGTAGGACAGCATGGGCAGGCGGACTGCTGCCCCTGCATGTGCATGTATGTTGTTACAGGGTGGTTAAGCTTCACCAGCGGCCCCCTTTCCCGAGGCAGTTCCCTGCTCTCCCCTGCGAGAGGGGCACCCTAATTCATTCACCCCATCCGACTTCAGAATGTATTCGTTGGGTTCAGCAACTCACCACCAGCATCCAACCAAATCCAGCGGATCAATGGCGCCTCAACTTAGTTCCTGGTCAGCTCGCATGTATGCATGCTTCCATAGATGTATGTACGCCCGGCTGCTGCATGTGTAATCCGTTTTGTTTATCTTGCAGTACCTCTTCGACGAAAGGTTGAGCGTCCTGGAGGCAGTCGGCAAAGCATGTGGCCAGGTTGAGGCAGGAGGCGCGCAATGCCCGCGTGCGGAGATGCTCGGGGACATTGCGCGGGCAGTTGCTAAGCCCCTGGTGTGTATCGTGGATGTGTTATACATGCATGATGTACGATGTACGACATAGATGAATATTTGCAAAAATAAAACATGGTATCTGCTGTTATGCGTGTGTGCTGCTGCTGCTGCTGCTACTCCATGCCGTTAACCCTACCTGCCAACTGCCTGTGCTTCTCTAAAGGCATAGCCACGTACTCCGAGTACGTCAGCTATAACTAATAAAGGACGATTGTCTGGTCTTAGGAGAGCGAGGACTATGTAACTTGTACATGCGCTTACATACCATTTATATGCGCAACAAATAAACGCGGCCGTGGATTTCATGCCTTGGCAGTCAAAATGGAATGATTTAGAGGAGGCCGCCAAGCAGAAAATAGCCGCGGATGAAGCTGCAAGTGCGTCGGAGCAGGAGGGCATCGAGCAGGAGGGCATTGAGCAGGAGGGCATTACCCCGAACGTGGCCCGCTGGCTGGTAAGTGGTCTGTCTCGAGACAACGAGCTCGTTCGCTCGCCAGCCATTAAATTTGGTGTGCTGTGTGAACTACTTTTACTCAGGCCACGTACTACACACCTGCTGCACGCCGCACGTTCAAATATTGAAATCCAGGACAGCTACTGCCTTTTTTATTCTACCATTGTCCGATCGATAGATGGTCATATAGTTACGAACGTATAACATGATTGTATTTATTTTTTTCGCACCACAGCTGCAAAAAATGCACCGATCGGCGGATGTCAGAATCCCGTAATACATACACCAAGGATGCACCCTTTTGATTGTTAAGCATTAACATAATCATCCTTAAGCTTGTCGTCAGTGATCATGCGTGTCTTGCGTGTTTACACTTCACACAACGGCTTGCAGCGGCGGCGAAGCAGCGGTGGTGAACTCAGTACACAGTAATAAGTTGCCACTCCTAGATCCGTGCCAACAAGTCCTATCTCAAGCATATGTGTTGGAACGTGTAACATACGACAAGAGCGCAGAAAAACGATAATGTGTCTCTTAAAAAGCTAATTAAACCCCACGGCATGCCAGTGTACGCATACCGTAGTGCTACTTATAGTTCGTGCTACAATAATTCGGGAGGCACCACGAATATGTAGCACGTACAAATTCGAAGGTATCCCAAGGGACCGCAGCCCCGAAATATCGTACCCTCCGAAGCCGGTCGATCAAACTTCGCAAAAACTAGGATTTCAAGGCGGAAATCAGCTCTTAAATACATAAAATATAGTCATAAACGTAGGACATGAACAACGCTGGAAAACGTGCAAGACAGGCAACCCTGCTTCAATGCGGGATGAAACCGCTAGCACCAAACGCTCCGGTGAGCGACCGGGTGAGGGTTCCTGTTTGGTGCATCCAGCTGCGTCGTAATGCCTTTTACGTCGGGGTTTCAGCCACATGAAGACACGTTTCAGTAGCAACCACCCAAACACTGTATTGGCCCGGCCGGTTGGTTATTAGGTCGTTGCCACTGGTACTGAACTGTACGATCGGTCCAGAATTTGCTAGGGCGTTTCCAAAGTGCGAAAATGGTGAGAGACCATGAGCCTAAGGGTTCCCGGTGGAGGGAGACTGACTGGAAGCTGCAGTTTGAAAAGCCCCGAAACTTTGGAAGGGGCCCCGAAATTTGTATCATGCCCGCAAAATCTGGTCCGGCCTTCCCCGAAATTCAAAGAGCACGTACAAATTTCAGAAAGGTTTTTGACCCCTCCCCGAACAAAGCGATCACGAACTATAAGTAGCACTACGGTACATACATGTATGCGCACGCACATGTATATTGGTGCATGCATACGTACACCGCAGACTAGAAGTCAACGGCACGTGTAGATGTCTGATCATCAATCGATGCGACCTCAATTGATACGTTCTTTAAAAGAAAAGCTCCGTCCGTTCATCGGCTTGTGGTGTTTGGCCGAGGAACACATGGAGGAGTAGCATCGTATGTAGGAGGGGGAGGGGGAGGTATTACAAAAAGCCCCAGACCCTAAGGGTTTACCTGGGGTAGTAGAGGGCCATGGGGCCACAACGGACCGCGCGCTGCACTGCACTGCACTGCACTGGGAATCCGTCCTGATGAGACGAAAACGCACACCTTGAACAGCTGCAGCGTGAAGCGTGTGAGGCACAAGTTGGCCTAATCAGGCGTAATAAAGGCGCGTATAGAACCTTATTATCTAGATAGACTGCAAGTACGGTGACCACTCATTCACAGTGCATACATACGTGGTTAGGCCGAAGCAGAGTGGCCTACCATTCGCTTATGTGTGCAAGTTAACTATTCGCAACCAAGGTACGCGCATGCGAGACCCACCCACAGCTAATAACCTTGCAGAGATCTGGTTCAGCTTGGAGGGCTTGTTGTCTATCGGACTTCTTAGCTTATAAGCTACCTATCTGACCGAACTTATGCTGCAGACCTGTGTCACAGGCTACACATATCGTCAGCATACGGTATGCTCCTAATGGACACCCCGCAGAGCATAAAATAGCGAAGACAGGAATGTTTCCGGCTTGACCCTTGTTGCCTCTGGCCCTCTGCTGGATTGTGCAGACTATGGCGGATGAAGGGAGGTACGAAGACCTGAGCACTGTGGTTGTCCGGGCGACAGATGCCTCTTGCCTCGCCAAGCTCCTCGCCAGTCCGGATGTGAGCATGCAGTGTAGGGCGGCCTCTGTGCTGTGTAGCCTAGCTATGGGCTATGCTGCTAACCAAGTCGCTATCACTCAAGCGGGTGGAATCACCCCTCTTGTGGCACTTTTAGGCAGCTCAGATTCGGGTGTCCAGCAGCAGGCAGCAAGGACATTGCTGGGCCTTGCTGCCAAAAACCCTGCTAACCAGGTCGCCATTGCCAAGGCTGGCGGCATTCACGCCCTGATAACTCTCCTGGACAGCTCAAACGCTAGTGTCCTGCAGCAGGCTATCGGTGCGCTCTTAAGCCTTGCTGCGAATGGTGATGTCCACGCCACCATTACCAAGGCTGGTGGCATCCCTCTCCTCGTCAAGCTCCTGGAAAGCTCACATGGTGATGTGCAGCGACAAGCAGCGGGGGTGTTGTTGAGCCTAGCTGCTAAAAATGCTGATACTCAGCTCGCTATCACCAGGGCCGGCGGCATTCCTCCGCTGGTGCGGCTGCTAGACAGCTTAGACACTGGCGTTCAGAAATGGGCAGCAGGTGCACTTCAGAATCTAGCCGTCAATGCAGCCAACCAGGTTACTGTTACTCAAGCCGGCGCCATTCCCCCGCTGGTAAGACTCCTGCACAGTCCTGATACGGGGGTGCAGCAGCAGGCGGCTGGGGTGCTGAGGAACCTAGCTGGCAATGCTAGCAACCGGGTCGCTATTGCCCAAGCTGGTGGCATTCCCTCCTTGGTGCTGCTGCTGGGCGGCTCACATGCAGGTGTCCAGCAGCAGGTAATTGGGGTGCTGTGGAACCTTGCTGTGGATGCAGCCAACCAGGTCGCCATCATACAGGCCGGCTGCATTCCGCTCCTAGTGAAGCTCTGGGGCAGCCCTAACCTTCATGTACGGCAGTGGGCAGAAGGGTTGCTGTGGAACCTGGCTTCGAGCACTGATGGTAACCAAGTCGCCGTCATCCAGACTCTGCTGAGTCTCCTCCGCAGTAGGGACACTGGTATTCAGCAGCATACAGTAGGGGTACTAAAACTCCTAGCTACGAAGGCTGACTGTGATTACACGATCATCCAGGCAGGCGGCATTCCAGCTTTGATAGAGCTCTTGTGCTGTCCAGATCCTGCTGTCCAGCAACAGTCTATAGGGGCACTGTTGGACTTTGCTGCTAAAGACCTTCGGAACCAGACTGCCATCATACGCGCCGGTGGAATTTCAAATGTGGTGAACCTTCTGGACTCTTCAGAAGACCCCGCTGTCCAGGAGGCGGCAGCAGGATTGCTGTTGTGCCTAGCCGTGAATGCTGGCAACCAGGTTACCATCGTCCAGGCAGGCGGTGTCCGCCCCTTGGTGAAGCTACTGAGCAGCGCGGACACAGGCGTCCAAAAGTGTGCAGCAGGAGCGCTACAGAACCTAGCTGCGAACATTGACAATCAGTTTGCAATCATCCACGCCGGCAGTATTCCTGAGCTGGTGAGGCTCCTGTACAGCTCAGATGTCGAAGTGCAGAAGCGGGCAGCAGGAACGCTTAAGAACCTAGCCGTGGATGCTGAATACCAGGTTGCTATCGCCCATGCTGGTGGCATTCGCCCGCTAGTGCGCCTCCTTGAGAGCTCAGACATAGGTGTCCAGCAGCAGGTGACAGGTGCATTGTGGAATCTAGCGGTCCATGCTGTCAACGAAATTGCCATTGTCCAGAGTGGCGGCATCCCGCCCCTGGTACGTCTCCTTTGCAGCCCGGACGTTCATGTACAGCAGCGAGCAGCCGGGACGCTGTGGAACCTAGCGGCGAATTCCGACAACGAGGTCGCCATCACCCAGGCTGGTGGTGTCCATCGCTTGATTGAACTCCTCGGCAGCTCGGATGCCGGTGTCCAGCAGCAAGCTGCCGGAGCGCTGTTGAGCTTAGCAGCGAATCCTGCCAACGAGGCCGCCATTACCCAGGCTGGTGGTGTTTCTGCGCTGGTAGGGCTGTTATGCAGCCCAGAGAGTGCCTTCCAGCAACGGGCAGCAGGCTTATTGGCAAGGATGGGTTCGGATTCCGTTCACAGGAGGGCAATCATTGAGGCTGGCGGCCTTCCTATGCTTATGGGACTAACAAGCAGTGATGATGTTGAGGTTCAGCTGGAGGCGCGAAGGGCACTGGCTGCTCTTCATGCGCGTTAGCAGGTGGGGAATACTTAGGCAGTAAATGGCTGGGTGTCCATGCATTACTGTCCGTATGTGGTTGCTTGAGTGGAGAGTTTGGAATCAAGTTTTGTTCAAGCAGTTCAGGCAGGCATAGGCAGGTACACAGATAAGAACACAACGCCTGACAATGCAAGGTTAAAATAAGGCTGTCCTCAGCAGCTTTGGGGTATATGGTTATCTTGCACATGTAGGGGGTGGTAGTGGTGGACGGAGGGGCGCTAGGCTTGGTGGAATTGAAGGCGGGCTGCGGGGACAGGCTGCAGGGACGGGCAGCGGCTCTCGAGTGTGTGTACACAGCAGACGCACTTGCGCGTTACGGTAGGCTGCTGTGCATGATGCACCTCGTTATCAATCCACAGCAGCCTACCGTAACGCGCAAGTTTTGTTGGTCCCAAAGTTATGAGATGAAGCGACGCATATATGTGCGGCTTAATTAGACCTTTTGTGCTTAGACTCTACCTTTGCGATGGCTGGTTAAGCATTCAAGCACTGAAAATGATCGCAAACCTGTACAAAAGACGTCACGTACCCTATCCACATCCCTATCTGAACTGCCCCATGAATGACTGCTGCTTAAACGCAGGTGGAATTGTAAGCTATCTGCATGCCTCTGGGAGGGCCCAACCACGCACACATGATGAGCTGTTGGTGAGGCAGGCAGGCACACACGCACGCGCAGCTCTGTGCTGTGGGATACTATGCAGGCTGCAAGATGGCAATGGCGGCATGTACGCTGTTGTAGCAGCTGACCGCTGAAAAGGTCTCTCGAGTTGCTGGTGGTCGCGCTCTGCGCGTATTTATAGCACCGTACTGTGTACCGGCTGCTACAGCTGTGTAACTAGCTAGGGCTTAGGACTACTGCGACGGACGCTACAGCTGCAGCCGGGGGTGTATCAAAAGAGAGCGGCTTAAATTATTTTGTGAAATACGTGGGCTGGCGCTTTCTGAAAATGCAGGTGCTGGCAGCGGCGGCGGCAATGTGAGCGAGCTTGCTTCGTTTCCCCACTCCCCATGTTTCTGCATGGATGGGTCTGGTGTATCATGTATGTGTGACGTGGCTGTTTGAGAGATGTGGCTGGTAACCATATTTGTGTGAGCGTTTGTGTGTGTATGTATGTGTGCATGTTTGTGTATATATTCATGTTGCTCCGTTCGTTAGCTATAGCCTGGATACATAGTCGCTTACAGAGAGTTCAGCGCAAATGGGGTGTGGGAAATGCCTCCCATATGGGTACCGCCCAGGTGCGTCATGGACTTGACGAACCTAAGTTCATGATTCGTTCACATGATCAAAATCGTATTCCCAGCAGATGTGGAGGCAGCGGCCGGTTAATTATAAGCAGGATGGATGCCGTGATACACAGGCAGGCAGATGTACACGATAGGGGTCTGCCTATGCATGTTTTATGAAGACCTTCCGATTGAATGTGGAAGGTGAGGGTGCCCCTAGTCGATGGACGGTGGTGACCTGGGATAAAGCGGACCTGCGAGCTGACCAGGAATGGAGTTTAGCTGCCGTTGAACTGGCAGATTCCGTTGGATGTCGGTGCTGGGTGCTGAACCTGAGCAACCTACTGAATAAGGAGAATTCGACTAGAGTGACTGGATGAGGGTGCCCCGACTTACTGGGTTTCGCCGGGTAGCGCACACGGGTGAAGATATGATTCATCACATGTATGCAGTCCACGTGTGGATGGGCCATCCGCAAGTGAGCCGGCTGCTGCATGCGTGCCCAAGTCCCAAAGTAATTCCTTTATTCAGAATAGGCTTGTTCGTTGAGAGACTTCTTGGAATAGTTTCCGTTGGCTCACTACTCGTTCATACATACACATATACACAGGTTAGGCACAACTGATAAGGCACGGACCATTGCCCCCGGGAAATCCCGAGATCGAGACCTGAAAGAGAGCCTCAAGTCGATGGACGGTGGTGACCTGGGATAAAATTGACACGGGAGCCGGCTAGGAATGGAGTTGGGCCGTCGTCGATCCGGCAGATTCCGTTGGATGTTGGTGGTGGGGTGCGGAAGAAGTTGACTAGGGTGACTAGATGAGGGTGCCCAGAAATCAAGGGGAAGGCAGGATTGCCGTGTAGCGGCCACGGGTGAAGATGTGGCCCTCTGTCCCACACATCACACATCATAATATGCGCCCTGATAGCGGTTCAGAGTGTAAACCTCCATTTTCTTTGCTTGACACGCGGACGCACGTGTATGCATGGATGCAGCAAATACAGGACGGAGGCAGGTTCTTGTGATCTTCGATTTGCGGATTGTCGTTGTTGTACTGTTCGTACTTATATAACTATTTTTTGCTTGTTTCATGCCCGCTGCTGCGGTATGACCGTTCGTTGCCAGGAAAGGGCCGGCTACCGCCCCGCAGCCGACCCAGCTAGCTCCCTGCAGATAGATAGCTAAATAGACAGATAATCGATGAGTAAGATAGGACGTTGCGGATCGAGGCCCGCAGTTTAGCGTGCGGCGGAGCGCGTTGGACAAACACTGGTGTAAAAGCCAGAAACCTTGCGTGCTGTTGGAAATGGTTTCTAGCGGACTTCTCAGGAATGTAAAAAACATGCGTGATTGAGGTCTTCGTTTACTAACCTGTTGAGTGTTTACTATAACACCATGGCGGGATCCCCGGCAACAGATTTTCTTAGGGGCGGAGACCTACCGGCGCGGCTTTCCGCCGTAAACGGGGCCCTTACGAACTCCCCGGAAGAATGTCTAAAGTTTGGGAGTAAAAAATTGCGAATATCCGGCGTTACTTTGACCTTGCATGAATCAAGACAACAGTAAGGGAATGCGACATGTATAATGAAAAGCGGGAACATCGAAAATGTTGGCATCCGTACATTGGCATCCGAACCATTTGCTAGGTCTCATTTCCAAATACAAAATCCTCTACAGTCATGTGAATGGCGTTTGTATTAGCTTGGAAAAGAGAGGACCCATGGTAAGCAGGTTTGAATGTTGCCACTGTGACCTCTTTTTTTCTTGAAAAACTTAGCGAGGGGGTTATCTATGTACTGCATTTGCAATGAAGGCTACATCAAAGAAACGAGCTATGGCGAGGTCCCCGTGCACGTGAGAGTCATGGAACGGGGACCCCAAAACGAACGGCGCAAGGCCTCACACGGGGAACGTAAACCCTCCCCGTCAAAATCGCAACAATTTGCATTTTTGTTTGGTACTTTTTCAGCAGCTCCAAAACGTTCTGATGCTGTAAAAGCTGCAAGCTTATTAGGTGTAATGATAAACGACGGTTCAAAACGTACTCCCCGAACCGTTCCTTCTCTGTAATCCATACCCCGGTGCTGTCCTCCAGTATAAAGAAATGTTATTCAAGTATACTGGGCCGTAGTTGTGCTGTCATGTATAGCGGTATCAACAATTACTTGCCCGTAGCCCAGAAGCCATCGAAAACAAAACCTGCCCTTAAGAAGACAGAAATAGTAGCGAAGGCACAGAAAGAAACTGCGGAAAACGCCGCCACCAAAGAACATGTGCCCTTGCTCCACATGCAGCCTGATCAAGACGAAGATCCCTAGAAGAGTATTTCTATACTAATCGTATACATGATGATGTGAATGCCGTGGGTGAGGAGGATGCATCATCGGGTGAGGGTTCGGACATTGATAAGGATGATGGGCCTGACGGCCCGAACTCCCGCCAGCTAGTGACGGAGGTATAATTTAAGTTCATCCACCAAACCGTCGCATCATCGGGGCGCTAGGGCGCCTGACAGCTGCACGGGCGGGGTCTGGTGACACTCGGGCGCTGGAACCTGGGTTGGGCGATGTCGGAATCTGGACGCGCGCTTGGGGCCGTGGCCTTGTGAGGGTATTTGGGGGCTGTCTGCAAAAAATCAGCCCGAACGCTTGACTTTGGGCCGGGGCGCTAGGGTGCCTGACAGCTGCACGGGTGGGGTCTGGTGACACTCGGGCGCTGGAACCTGGGTTGGGCGATGTCGGAATCTGGACGCGCGCTTGGGGCCGTGGCCTTGTGAGGGTATTTGGGGGCTGTCCGAAAAAAGTCAGCCCGAACGCTTGACTTTGGGCCGGGGCGCTAGGGTGCCTGACAGCTGCACGGGTGGGGTCTGGTGACACTCGGGCGCTGGAACCTGGGTTGGGCGATGTCGGAATCTGGACGCGCGCTTGGGGCCGTGGCCTTGTGAGGGTATTTGGGGGCTGTATGCAAAAAATCAGCCCGAACGGCTGCATTCCAGTTGCATTCATGATTGCCGTACTCAGCCTCAGGTGTGATCCCTGGCCAGGCCATGTGGTCAGTCAAGGTCATGCATTCCCCAACCATGCTGTTTGAAATGTTCACAGCTTCTTGTAAATAAACAGGCAACTCACCAGCGAGATGTACCTGTGGCATATCAACACTCATTTCATGCACACACACGCAGCAGGATCATCCAGTATGCACCCATTCAGTATCCCATCACTCTCCCCAAACAGGAAGTCCTAGATTAACCCTCAGTTCACTTGGTCTGATTCCTGTTAGACCCCCCACGCTGTCTCTGTAGCAAAGCCGCGAGCTTGGCGCCCCTTCCCAGGCGTTGGCTCTGGCCGCCCCTGTTCCCCCGCTGGCCACCCCCTGTTGCTTGCTCGGCCCCCTTGGTTGGCTGCTTGCCGCCCCTGGTGGGCTGCCGGCGTGTCGATCACTGATGTCCCAGACAACATTCGAGTCCTGAAGGCAGTCCACTGCGGTGGTT